ACTTCAGGATGACCAAAAAATCAAAATAAATGTTGATAAAGAATAGGATCTCCCTCATCAGCTGGGTCAAAAAATGATGTATTTAAATTACGATCAGTTAATAATATTGTAATAGCTCCTGCTAATATAGGTAGAGATAATAATAATGCAGTAATTGCAACTGATCATTATTATTATTATTATTACCTTAGCCAGACAATAAATTGTAAGACCTAAGACTTAAAGCACTAGCGTCTAAGGCTATCGGCTTTATTGAAAACTGAGGATCATTTACGAAACAAAGGCTGCTTACAACCTGAACGGGATGCGTAGTGCGGCCATTGGGGACCGTTGCTGGATTAGCCCCCTTTTTGACAAATGATTTGGTTAGAAAGCACTGTTGTCATTGTAGCCCTATGTTGTCTTTAAGAGAATCGGCAAAGTGCATATGCTCGGTATTGTGCTCACTTTCACCAATTACCTTGGTCTAAAAGTAAAGCCAGCCCCTCTTCTTTGAAATCGTTGCTGAGGCTAACGCATACAGAGCCCATTTTGGCAATAACTTTCTCATCCGTCACCGAATCGATTGAACAAATCACCAAAACCACAGAGATTTATTGTTGCCATTAACCGCGCAAAGTACACATATTTGACGATGAGATTTCGAAAAGGATTAAGAAAGTGCGGGACCAAAAGCAAAAGAAAGGAAATTGACATGTAGTTTTGGATTATGTCGAGAACTCAATTCTGAAATTAAATGTAATTCTACAAATAAAATGAAAATAATGGCGAACCTACGGGTAATGTAAACTTCTTATTAGGTATATAAAAAAATTTCTCTGACTGATATTGGTTGTTCCATAAAACGTATTTGACGGGTTCAACTTCCCCGAAATCTCAGATCGAAATAACATAGATAATGACGTTTAAACAATGTACGTTTCAGTGGTTTACAAGTTATTAAAGATATGAATGCAATTTATGGAACTGCACTTTTCCGTGTTCTTAAGAGGGCTAGTCGGCAAAGAAATGAAGATAAAGCTGCTAAAATGATTGAATTGGCTTGGAATGAAAATATACTAAGCTATATTGTAGTTCGAAAATAGTTTCACGCGATTTTCAGTAAAAAATTGTTGCCTTGAAAATGATAAAATTTACGCATGTCCGCACGTCTCCAGCAAAAGCCACTCAGGAAGTGATTTTCAATTTAGACTGAGAAGTTTTATCGCATAACGCGGTATTTCCCAAACCTGGCCACTTCCAATCGCCACTTGTTCGGGTCGATGCAGCCATATCTAGCAGATCAGCGGTCGCCAGAAGTTGAACACGTGCGAAAACGATTCGATTGCTATTTCGACTACAAATCCGCAAATTTCTACCTCCAGAGCATCCTTAAACCAGCCAGTAAATGACAAAAGGCCATAGGTTAACTGCGGTGCATATTTCGATTATTGAACTTTATAGCAAATATACTTCAAATGTAGTGTAATTTTGTCAAAAAACAAATTTATTATATTTATATATTTATAACAAATTTATTTACATACCTAATGCTAAATTTCTTGTTTCTCTGAATCTTAAAATACAATTTCTTCTTACCATTATTATCAGTATATAGACCTACCCCATAAGTAGCCGGCTACGGTTTCAGGCAATTGTCATAGCAATAATAATAATAAAGGTTGAATTTTTTTTTTTTTTTTTTTAATTTTAAATTTATTATTTTGATTAATAAAAGATTTAGAAAACAACTTAAAATTTTTTCGATTGTACAAGAGTTACGTATTATAGTAGACGACCACAATACATTTGCAATCTACTGAACACAAATAATTAGCTCGCGATTATGTCGAGATATGTTATTAAAAAGGATTCAACACTGGCAGCTAATGCTATTCTGGAACATACGCTTCCAGGCGTATGTTTAAAGACACATAAAATTTGGAGCGTTTTTTTCCAGGTTTGTATTTTTAGTGTTTTTCTATATAGTAATGCGCTTATACTTAAACAACGTTAAACGATTTCTATTGGTTAATTATTCTTAGATTAAAGGAACACGCGTTCGTTTTGCATGCCTATTCCAATGCATATAATTGTTTTGAAAACTCGTGGACATTTTTCTTTTCAATGTTGCTATTTTTAATGTCAGTCTTTTGTTGGATTTCACTAATTTTTTTGTTTTTTTATTTTTTTGTTCTAATCTAACACATTTAATTCTGCAAAGAGAGAGAATGAAGGGAAAAGAAGAAAAATTTTAAATTAAAGGAATATAACGTAATGATGATATTGTAAAGGAACGTACTTGCGTTGTAAATATCTATGCACCGTTATCTTATAGATGATTTCGTTTAGCTACGAGAGTGGAGTTTTTCTTTAAACGTTTCCATGGCTGTGCTGATTTTGTTATTAGTGTAGTTGTTGAAATGATTCCGTTTAAACATTTTAAATTTCCTTGTTTTGGAGAGTGGTGTCAGAGCTGTACTTGGTCGGCGGCGCGTTAGCTTGCTCCTTATCATCATCATCGCTCGAGTCCTATATGTTAGGAACTACATTAGTAAGTAACAATAGATGTGTGACATTAAGGATGGGCAGGTGGTGCGGAAGTAATGGATGGGTGAGTAACAAATTTTAAGTACACGCAAACAAAAAAAAAAAAAAAAAAAAAAAAAAAGCAAGATAAAATGAATTAATACAAAAAACAAAAGATAATTATAATTTAAAGATATGATATGCAAGAATTATTCATAATCATAAATAAGAAAGAAAAACAAAAATGCCTGCGTATGTCTTTTTAATTTCCCAAGCAATCATCTGAATTCCGTATCATAAGCATATTTATGCTTCTCTATACTAACTTAAAAACCGATAATATAAACAAAAACAATTTTATATTGAAAATATATTTTATAAAGGCTGGTACACTAAGTCATGTTAGCATTACTCCTGGACGGACATTTTACATAATTTAAGGTAAAGCCATTTAAAAAAAAATTGTATGACACATCATCAATGGAATATTTTTTTTTTTTTTTTCTTTCGATTTTTTTTTTCGCATACCATTCCCTGGAGCCGGTCAAAAACGAAATATTTAAGGAAACATGATAGGCTGTTGAGGCTGTCTTCGTAAAAGGAAAAGTCCTCTGAAATCAATGCTGATTTTTTTTTTTTTTTAAATAAACTTTTCAAAGCAGGTTGATTTGATTTCCGAAATATTAGATTTTCAAAAAACAAAATTGATTTCTTATTCTAAATATTTCCACGTGACGCAGAGGTGCACGCTAGGAGAGATCAAGGAAAAGGTGTATAGCTTTGCAGTAGTCTTTACTAATGTTTGCTGTTTCTCTTTAAAAAGTTTTTGTATTCAAATTTTTTTATACTTTTTTATATACTTTGAGACTTGTACGTAACAACAAGAGCCTACCCATGCATAGTACCCATTAAATGCACTGAAGAGTGATCTAGTTTGAGCATGTTATCCATCCTTAACTGTTTAAAAAATTAAATTTGGTCGGAGAGTCAAACTCATATCAAAAGCTTTCCTTTTATATTGGATATCTTTTTGCGGATATCGATTAAGAAATCATTTAACTAATACCACTGCATGTCAGATGAGAAAAAATATATGAGAGCGTTTGAGAACAAGCCTTCGACCCTGTTTGTTTATTGTCAGCGTGCCAGATCGCCAGCAAGCTTACCATGAACTTGAAAATAGTTTCAATAACGATATATAAACGTGCATTTTAGAGAAAAACAAAGAGTAGCCTTATTGACCTAAAGGTGAATATTAACTGTCCGCCATAAGGATTAAAAACGTTTATAAACTAAAGATATTTTATTTACTAGTCTGTTAAAGAGGTCACATGTTAAGTTTGTCGAAATCTCTTTATTCCCAAGAGGAATAGCCGCACTTTACATATAATTCTATGGCAATAAATGGCAGGCGAGGCACACAACAAACAATGTGATTGTGAATGATATCAATTTATATATGAAGTTTTATTTATTTGATGGGAAATTCGAAATTTCCATCAAAACTGTTTGAAGATAAATATTTTTCTATATTTTCTATATTTCTGTATGAAATCATTCTCCTTAACATTTTTATAGAAACTATTTTCAATTAAAAATACCGAATCCTTTTTGTTAATTGTGAATTGTAGTTTATAGGTGACAATGCAAAACTATTGATACGAATATTTATCTAAAGCGACCTAATATTTTTTTCACTTGCGTTAGAAACGAAACTTTAAAGCATATGGCAATCATTGTCGGCGCTTCATTTTTAAATTTCCTTGTCAGCAATTTTCCTTACAGCAAGATCTCAGCGTGGTTTGGAAATTTCACCATTTTTTTTTGGAAACATTAATCATTTAGTTTCGTCCAAAGTGAAAAGACGCGGGGCAAGGCGGTCAATTTAAATAAAGAAAACTTTTAAAAATCAATAATAAAGAAAGAAAGGTGTAGAAAATGGATAAACCAAGTGGATCTGCTGGACGGTCACGTGGTATACGGGCAGGTTCTGGTTCCTCGCAAGGTCATCCTGGAGCGCGTGGTAGACGGCCACCACAAGCGGTAAGAATTCCGTTCACCTGATTTATATGGGGTTATATTTTGGTAGAATTTTCTAGAAACTAGCTCTGTTCATTTTGGCGCATAGAGTCATTGAGCAAATAATTGCGTTTTCCAAATTCAAGAAATTTTTAAAAAATTGTTGATTTCGTGAAGATTAAATGTAAAATGTTCCATAAATAGTGCGAGCGCAAACGAATTTAATGATTAGTTTTAGTTTCTTAATCTTGTCGAAATTATATTATTATGAGTGTGAGAGTGTGTCGATTAATTATTAAATTTAATATCAGGGCGCTGGCGCACCTCCGGTATCGGCATGGGGAAATCCGAATGTAGGTATGTCACGCGGTGCTAGTCGAGGAACGCCAGCAGTTAGCATTCAGCCGCAACCGAGCACCAGTACAGGAAGTTTTCAGCAGCGCCCGCAGGCACCGGCTGTTATAGGCCGCGCAGTCGCTCATCGTAATGTTCCACCTACGGAAGGCGCACAAGGGCAATGTAACTTACTTAATCGTACTTTATTTTATTTGTTCAGAATAAAATTAATCTTGCTCTTTATAAAGTTGTGTCAAAGGAAGACAATCGCGGAACGGTAAGAGGTAAACGGGTTCTAACTGAAATGGTTCAATCTCGACCGAAAAATCTCGTCACTAAATGTGGATTTAGTGGCCGTAACGTAGTGGCACAAGCTAACTACTATAGAGTGTTAAAGAAACCGAAATGGTCCATTCATCAATATCGGGTGGATTTCAGCCCAGATGTGGACATGGTACGCCTGCGTCGCGCTTATTTAGCACATCATAAAGATATTTTTGGTGGTTATATATTTGATGGGACCGTCCTATTTTGTGCGGTATACTTAAGCAACAAAATGGTAAATGGAGTCTTGGAGCTATTGACCAAAAATCGGGAGGGAGAGACTATCCTGATTAAACTAAAACATGTCGGGATTGTCGAGGTCGCTGACGCACAGTTGTTGCAAGTATTAAATTTAATTTTGCGTCGCGGCATGGAAGGATTGAAATTGCAATTAGTAGGGAGAAATTTCTTTGATCCCGTTGCGAAGGTAAGTTTTTGTGTCAGTCTCTTGAGAAAATTTATGTTAATCGGATAGGCATTCTTTCTTTTAGGTAGACGTGTCCGGTTTTCAGATGCAAATCTGGCCTGGCTATCAGACGTCCATACGTCAACACGAACAGGATATATTACTTTGTGCAGAGATAACGCACAAAGTAATGCGCACTGATACAATTTATCAAATTCTAACCGAAACAGCCAAAGGCAAAGATTATAAAACTACCTTTGCCCAGCGTGTGATCGGTAAGGATAGACATAATGCAATTGTTTAGAAATATTTAAATGATACTTATTTTGCTGTCCAGGCACGGTTGTTCTTACCGATTATAATAATAAGACCTATCGTGTAGACGACATTAATTTCGAATTGTCGCCTTTGTCGAAATTCTCCACCAAAGACGGAGATATTAGCTATATGCAATATTACAAACAGGTAAGCGATAGATTCCTTTGCCATTAACTATCATTAGGTCATCACTGAATGATTTTTATACTCACCACTGCATAGATGGAGGTATACTCATTTCATATTTTTCCATAATATTTGTAACGCCCAAAGAGAAGCTTCAGAGACCCTATAAAATGTATATACATTCTGGATCAGTGTGATATCCTGGGTTGATTTAGTCATGTCTGTCTGTCTGTCTGTGTGTGTGTGTTATTGGCACTCTTCTGGTCGCAAAAATGAAGATATCGATTTTAAATTTGGAAGAAACATTGGAAGTTTCTGCGCGCAGGTTGGTATGGGCCAAATTGGTTAAAGCAGAAGCGCGCAGTGGAGTGTAAACTGGACGCAACTCGGTTTTTTTCACAAAAATTGTTGGATTTATGCTCGTTACTCAAAAATTATTAAAGTTACAAGGCTAAAATTTTTCAAGTTTACTTTACGAAACACTGTACACTTTACGTGCAAAAATGGAAACAATCGGCCAAGCCCACTCAAAGTTGCAATAAATTAAATTTTATTTTCTTCACCTTTTTAAGGTTTTTTGCTTATTTATCGTAAGACAAACAAGACAAAATATTTAAAACCACTTTGTACAATTCTCAAATGAAGACAATAACATTGAAATCCATAAGATATATTAACCTGCCTAAAATTGGGTTAATTTAACAATGAATATAGTAGAGACCGCGATTACTTTTTTCTTCATCCCCGCTGAATATAACATTCTTACTTGTATTTTTCTCGTTTAGAGATATAATATTACAATACGCGATCACCAGCAGCCAATGCTGATATCTCGGCCAACTGAGAGAAATATGCGTGGCGGTCAGAACGAATTTATTATACTTGTGCCGGAACTTTGCCGAGCAACAGGATTGACAGACAATATGCGAAGCAATTTTCGGTAAGTGAATTATATATATATATAAAAGACTATAAATTACTATATATATATATATGTATATATTACTGTAAAGATAAATTTAATATTTCTAATTGTGTTCACGTAAGATTTGCTATTGTATCCTTAGGATTCCGGTTCTATTTTTCTTGCTTGATTGAAATTTATTATTTTTAATTTTGTAATGCATCTTTTCATGCATGTTGATTTTTTAGGTTAAGTTTTCCTTCCTCAATTTGAGTAACTGCCTTGCATCCCTGCCATTGTTTAATTTTGATGTACATATTCTATGTGTAGCCTTGAACATGAATTAATTTGCCATATTTGGGTTAATTTTTCTTTTCTAATATGGTAGACTTGCAGTATTGTTTTTTTTGTAAACTGGTTTTTTTTTTGCGGTTGCTTATATAAGTAAAAGAATTCGTGTGCATTTCATGCTTTGCGGGAATTATATTTCTTTTATTAACTAATTGGCGTAAGATTTTCATGGGGAGCTTTCTTAGGGAGCCATATATATCAGCTGAAGGTCTCCGATTTGGTTTGTTAATGGGCTTATAAAACTCCAATAATCATTTTACAATCTACCGCAGATTTAAAATGTTTGACCAAAAGTATTCTCTCGTCGTTTGATCTACTCCATTCATTCCATCGAGTTGCTCTCCCTACTTTCCTAGTAAATTTTGTCTTTCGATTTAAATTTACATACGTATTTACTCTTAGCATAAAATTCGCATTTACATTTTCTTTGGGCCATCATGAGCAAATAAAGAGAATTCATTAATAAACATATTTGAAAGAAGTACCCAACCCAATTATATTTTTAGCTTAATGAAAGCGATGGGTGAGCATACCCGCTTAAATCCCCAACGCCGCCTAGAACGTTTACGCAATTTTAATAGCCGCTTGCAAAACTCGAAAGAGAGCGTAGAAGTTTTTAATTCTTGGAATATGGCGGTTGACAATGCTTTAGTCGAAGTACCAGCTCGTGTTCTACCAAGTGAGCAAATACTTTTGCATAACTGTAAGGTAACGTGCGATCAAAACGCGGATTGGACCCGAGAGTTCCGAAATAACGCAATGTATGTGCATGTTAATATAAAACGCTGGTGTGTCATTGTGCCGCGTCGTAACCTGAGACAAGTACAGGACTTTATAAGGTTATGTAATAGGGCGGGTCAGTCAATGAAAATGGAAATTTCGGAGCCTTGGTAGTAAGTTGACAGTTTGATCTTAAATATGCAGGCATTTATTTCGATTTACGTATACATCGTTTGCAATTATAGTGAAGAAATGGGTGACGATCGTAATGCGTCATATTCCCAAGCCATCGATAACGCAACTGCAAGGGATCCGCAGATTTTAATGATAGTAATGGCAACTAACAATGAAGAAAAGTGAGTTTTGTTTCTTTGTCGACACAAAAGTAAAGAAAGATTCTGAGGAATTCTTTTTATAAATTTACAATTTTAAGATATTCGTGCATCAAAAAGAAATGCTGTGTTGATCGTCCTGTACCATCGCAAGTGGTTACATTGAGAACAATTGCGCCCCGCGGTGACAGGGCATCGGGACTTATGTCAATTGCCACCAAGGTTGTAATACAAATGAACGCGAAATTAATGGGCTCTCCTTGGATGATTAATTTGCCGTTAAGAGGTCTGATGACTGTCGGATTTGATGTCTGTCATTCGGCCAAAGACAAGAATAAATCGTACGGCGCTCTTGTTGCTACGATGGACTTGACTTCTTCAACACGATATTTTTCAACAGTTACGCAGCATTTGAAAGGCCAAGAGCTATCAAATGAAATCGCTATGAATATGACTTATGCCTTGAAGGCTTATAGATCAGAGCATGGAGCACTCCCAAAGAATATCGTTTTCTACCGGGATGGGGTAGGCGACGGCCAACTACATCAAGTGTTTAATACCGAAGTCCATCATTTGAAAAAGAAACTCGACGAGATATATGTGTCGGCGGGCATTGCAACAGGATGCTCAATGGTATTTATTATAGTTTCAAAGCGAATCAATACTCGCTACTTTGTCAACAAGCAAAACCCAGTGCCAGGAACTGTTGTTGACGATGTGATTACTTTGCCGGAACGATATGATTTTTTCTTGGTATCGCAATCTGTGCGTCAAGGTACGGTTTCGCCAACGAGTTACAATGTGATACTTGATACTATGGGTCTCCCAGCAGATAAAATACAAATATTAACTTACAAAATGACCCATTTGTATTATAATTGGTCCGGTACGTTGCGTGTGCCAGCGGTTTGCCAGTATGCCCATAAGTTAGCATTCTTGGTGGCCGAAAGTATCCATCGCGCCCCAAATGCCGCTTTAGAGATGCAACTCTACTTTCTCTAAAACCAAAATACCTCGAGAGAAGTTCGCTTATTTTAAAAAACGCTTGCTTTCTGAAAATAACTACAAATATACTTTTGTATAATATCAACCTTATTATATCGCCTTTAACAATTTACTGCGCTATTGTATTCGTGAATTAATTAATACATATAATTTAAGGTGTATCTAATGAAAATTCGTAAATTTAAAATAATTTGTATAAACCTTTTATATTTTGCTTAGCCCTCCTCCCCACTTTGTTTTGTTAACGTTAAGGACTTACATGCATTACTAATCTTCCCATTTTATTTTAATATTTTTGCTTGGTTTTCTTTGCTTCTCTAATATTTTTTCAAAAATTTATTGAAAATTTAAACTTGTAAATTTTTATTTTTTATTACATGAGTTCTTGTATCCATTTTTTTTTTTTTTTTTTTCATATTTACTACAAATGAATAATAAAAATTACAAAATATTTATGGAGTAATTATCATTACATTCTAATTGGAGTAAGGCATAATCATAAGATGATGGCTTCCCTT